TAGCGTGCAACAAAAAACAAATTGTTTGCGCCACGTCGTTTGCGCCTACTTGACTGCACCACATGGATTGCTCTCTAGCACTCGGTTCTCCCCCCCGCCTCTCATCCTGGAGGCCAGGGTTAACGCCACGGCTTCTCGGTCCACGCCCGTCTTTGTTTCGCGTGATCGTCCATTTCACATGTCAAATTTCACCATGTACAACTGACGGGTGTCGCCCGCCCCCCGTCGTCCTTGTCAAGTAGTGCAGTGCGGGGCACACGCGTTGATCTAGCAAGAGCGTTTTGCAAGTAGGCGCCTAAAATCATACCATGCGGGCCACACGTGCGCGCACATGTCAACATGTACTACAAGCCAAAGCCATTGGTCCCCAACGGTATCGAACCACCAGATATCAAGCTGACGCTGCTTGTTCGACAGTATGACAGACTTCTGTGCCGTGACATCCCCTGTCACCGTAAGAAAAGCAATTCGTTTGCCATTGCCTGAAGAGACCATGCGGGCCACACGCAAGCGCATGTGAAACACATTCAACAATGTTCCCACACCCGCATACTACCAAATGATGCCATGCGGGTCGCATCCGCGCAGCTTCGTGCGCGCATGTCTAAGCTTTAGCGAAATCGCGGAGCCACTGATGCGCACGGATTCTTACATAGCGTTGATCGACACACAAATAAAACATTTTCATCATCCCCATCGTCACGATCGTCATCATCATCGCCGGCGGTCCTCCTCATCATCAGCATCATCATTATCATCATCATCATCCTCATCATCAGCATCATCATCATCATCATCATCATCATCATCTTCATCATCACCATCGTCATCGTCATTATCATCATCATCATCCTCATCATCATCACCACCACCACCACAGTCACCACCGCCATCACCGGCATAATCATCATCAAAAGTGTCCTCGCTGCCGCCCGTGATACCAGCGCCATGGCCATCATCATGATTGTCGCCGTCGCTGATGCCGTAGCGACCATCATCACTCCCCCGCCCGAGCCATGGATCTGAATGAGAAGGCTCCTCGCGACATTGGGCCAGCCGGGTTTTGCGAGCAGGTTGCAGGTGGGTTGGTGGATTGTTTGCTCGAGCATTGGAGTTATGTGTTAATATGTTCAACCGGCATTGCAACATGTAGATTGCACCACGTGGCCTGCAAGTCCAAAGTGTACGAAGATCCATCGTTTGAGGTCCACGCTGGCAGTTTGTTTGGGCAAGTGCGACAGAAGTGTGGATGCTTCTGGCCCAGGGGGAGACAGAAGGAAACTCGAAACGCGGAGAAGAGTAACAGGAAGTGGATCCAGGCAGTCGTGACGTCGGAGGTCCGGGACGGGCGCGTGCAGACACAGTGAACGAGAGGACCCGCAGTGAACGAGGCAGTAGACAACGAGCGCACGAATGGGCGAACGCCACGCTCCCATACCCACAGGGGGGACGGAGGGGGCCATGGGTGCGTGTCGTCGAATGGGGGTCCCCGCTGGAACGGGAGCCTCCCCCGGGATCCGACAGCCCGCACCCATACCCATAGCCAGGCCTCTTTCCTCCGACCACGCTTGCGTTGTCCGTTTGTCAACGAGCGCACGACTGTCGGCCGCGCGCAGAGAGGTGTCCGGGGAGGGGGGAAGGCTTCTTAGAAGCAGTTATGCTTCTTAAGAGGCGCGGGCCTGGTCTGTAGATTCAGGGCGCTTTCTGAGAAGCAGCCTCCTTCTTAAACGCCTTCCCCCTCTCCCTACCTCCCTCTGCGCGTCGCCGAGGCTGGACGATCCGCGTACATGGGCAGAAGCAGTGCCGAGGAAGCCCTCGGCCTCGACCCCCTCCCCCTCCCCCTCGAGGGCCCGCCGCCGACGCGCCCGAGCCGCCGCCGCCCTCCGCCCCGCGCTCTGTGCTCCCGCTCTGCGCTCCCGCTCCGCGCTCCGTCGCCGCCGCCGCCGCCGCTGTCGACACCGTCGTCGTCGTCGTCGCCGTCGACGTTGTCTTTGCTGGGGTCGCCGTCGTCGTCGTCGGCTCCGCTGTCGCCGATTGTCTCCGCCGCTGCCGCCGTCGTCGCTGCTGTTGCTGTCGCCGTCGTCGTCCTCGTAGTCGTCGTCGTCAGTGAGGGTGGCGATGGATCTGCTTTTTCCATGATTTTGTTTGACTTGAACTCGCCTTCCAAGAACGTGCGCCAGGGAGGACGGCGCCTCCTTCTTGGCCTAACTAGAGCCAACAGACAGGCACTTGCCAAACAAAAGCACGTGGGACGCGCGAGGTCGGAGACGCTGCAACTAACGCCTCCCAGTTGCCCTGCCAGACTCCTAGCACGCAGACTGGGGTGGCGCTCGAGGTGCGTTTCGCCTTCTGCCACTTTCGCCACCCAGTAGCTCCAGAAGACGGGGGTCAGAGCACACAACAGGCAGGCACAAGCAGGCACAAGCAGGCACAAACCTGCGCCACAAGCAGGCACAAGCCTGCGCGGCGAGAGGGAGCAGTCAGCAGGCTGGGCATACGTTTTCAAGAACAAAATCTCAGTCGAGAGGGAACCCGCCCGCCCGCGCCCAGAGGAGGAGGGGGAAGCCGAGGGGGAAGAAAGGGAAAAGGGTGAGGAGGAGGAGAAGGAGGAGGAGGAGGGGGAGGGGGATGAGGATACGGTAGGTGTGCGCGCCATATCTGACATCCGACCCGTCCACCCACCCTTTCCCATTTCGCTGGTTTCTTCTCTATCCGCCGACGCGTGTCACAGCCGCCCTGGATTTTAAAAAGGGCCCCATCGTGTCAAGCGCAGTCGGAAAAGGGAGGTTGCGTACATTGGATAAGGAGGTGGCGGATGAGCAGGAGGGCGAGGAGGATGAGGAGGGAGGAGGACGAGGACGAACACTAAGGAAAGGCGGTGGAGGGGAAATGACGGGGGCGACAACCATGAGGAAAGACTCGGATCCAGAAACCAGCTACACGCGCTGGTGCGAGACCGCCTTTTCTGAACGACGGGGCAAGAGCGCCGATCCTAAATTCAGGCCTACGTTGCAGCGGTAGCACCATTCTGAGATACCGAAGACGTTCCGTCTGGAGAAAGCAGCAGGCCACAGGGAATACCAACAACTGAACTCCTGTCCGAACTCATGTGTGTAGAACAAACAGTGCACGCAGGGGGCGCGTCACTGACCCGGCCATCTATTGGGGAGACCGGAGAGTAGCATTCGTATTGGGAATTTGTGGAGGCGGAGGGGGAGAACGAGAAGGATGATGATGATGATGATGAGGAGGAGGAGGAGGAAGAAAAGGAGGCATTCGTTGCCTTATTGTCTTGCGCGAAGGAGGGCGGGCCACCACCTGGCCATCTTCTGGGCAGAAGGGGAGATCAGCACTCGTATTGAGTAGTTGCAGAGGAGGAGGAGGAGGAGGAGGAGGAGGAGGAGGAGGAGGAGGAGGAGGAGGAAGAGTGGGAGGAGGAGGAGGAGGAAACGGGTCTTAGCGCATTGCTGATGCCCGTGAGGAGAGGCATAGCCTTGTCGAGCTGGATGGGGCACATGGGATCTCCCATATTTGGAGCGGTGTTCGTGAAGGTTTGGGCGTCAAACCTTTAGCCCAAGAGACGGAGGAGGAGGAGGAGGAGGAGGAGGAGCAGGAGTAGAAGGAGCAAGAGGAGACGGAGGAGGGGGAGGGAAGGAGGAGGATGAGGATGAGACGGAGGAGAGGGAGGTGAAAGAGCAGGAGCAGGAGATGGAGCCTGTGGGGGGAGGAGGAGCAGGAGACTGACTGACTGACATCCCTGGGCGAACGAGAGTACGAGGGGTCTCCCCTTCTGTCGTTGAAATTCGCTGGGCGGCATGCCTGAGTGGCTTCAACTTTGCTACACACTGGCACTGGTGGAAAAACACTCGGGCCCCCAGGCAACCCGTGAGGTATGAGCTCGGGGCGCTAGGGTGGCGGCCCACACGTTTGTTCACCAGGAGAGACTAACAAAACGCCAGCACCACACCAAGCAGCGTGGGCCCCCCCACGGCATCCCACCCTACAAGGCTAGGTACTAGACAGTCCTGAGCCTCTCCCTTGCTCAGGGGGACGATTTTGTCTCCCCCTACCTCTGCCTTTACCCCGTCCCTTAGGACGCGGCTGATTTTTTTCGGTCGGGATGAAACGGCCCCTGGGGTCTTCCAGAGCAGATTCGGAGAGGGAGGAGGTGAAAGAGGCGAGAATCGCTTCCCTGCTCACTAAGCCCCTAGACACGAGCTCACTCAGGCGCTCACTTCCTGCCAGGGTCCTCATCCTCCTCATTTCGGCCTCTCCTAGGACGGCTCCAGCTTGTTCAAGAGCGCGCGCGCGTCCCTCTCCAAAGCCCCGCGTGGGGCAGCTCCAATCAAGATCTCCCCTCCGTGCCTGACTATCTCCGAGCGAATGACTCCGTCGAGCTCGTGTGCGATCTTGGTCGTCGAGAGAGCCCACTGCAACCGCACCTTGCCCTCCATGCGCTTCGACTTCTTCTTGGCCTCCTTGCCCTGTGGGACGCGCACCCTGAAGTACTTGATCTCCGCTGCCGCGTCTTTCAGCTCGTACTTCATGACGTTCTCTGTCCAGTATGTTCCCAGCGTGGTGCGCGCCTGGCCTTCCTCTGTACTCGGGAGGAGCAGGAGGAGGAGGAGGAGCAGGAGGGGGAGGAGCAGGAGGGGGAGAAGGGAAACGATGAGGAGCAGCAGGAGGGGGAGGGGGAAGAGGAGGAGGAGGAGGAGGAGGAGGAGGAGGAGGAGCAGGAGCAGGAGCAGGAGCAGGAGGAGGAGGAATAGGAGCAGGAGCAGGAGCAGGAGCAGGAGCAGGAGGAGCAGGAGGATCGAGGAGGAGGAGGGGGGAAGGAAGGAGGAGCAGGAGGAGGAGGAGGACGAGCAGGCGGAGGAGGAGGAGGAGGAGGAGGTGGAGGAGAGGAGGAGAAGGTGGAGGAAAACGAGGAGGACGTGGCGCTCGCTTACTTGTTGCCCTTTGCTTGCGGCGCGCGCGCGGCGCGTGCGGTCTTGCGGCAGGTCCGCGAGCGTGGACGCCGTTGTGCTCTCGGGTGCCCGCCTCAGGGGGGAGACGTGGGCGGGGTCGGGCGAAGGAGGACGATGATGAGGAGGATCGAGGACCAGTGTAACCCCAAGACTCATCAATGATGTTGCATTAAGCCCTCCCTCCAAGCTCCCTCCTCACATGCCCGTGCAACATTCATTCTCATTGAAGGAAACAGTCCGTTGGAAATCAAGCGTTTGAAAGTCCCGACTTGCGCCAGAACATCATTGCCGGGACTTCAGCGCCGCGAATCACCGTTATTGTTGCGTCTTGACGGTCCTGAATCTTGCCAGAACGCACTTCCTGGAACACGCAACGATTCAACGTGACTGTTGCGCCCTTACAGTCCGTCATCGCGCCAAAGCGCCCTTCCAGGGGTGCCCGGATCGTCCCGAACGACCGCGGTAGACCCGAGTCGTGTCCCGAAAGTCGATTTGAGATCCTAATCCGACCGAGCCGAGTCGATACCGATGCCAGACAGCCCGATCCGATTCGATTTCGGTGTTCTGGCGATCCGATGCGGCTCGACGCTTGCCCAGATGGCTCGTCACGGCGTCGCTTCGAGTGGAATTGCCACCGTTTCTGCGTGTGTGCCCATCTGTGGCAAGGTCGTCGGCACAGCTGTTTTGGAGCAGCGCTCGTTGGCGCGGATTCCTGCTGCAGAGCGTACTGGCACCACGACCACCCCGTCTTCGGAGCACCGCCCGCACGACGGCCGTCTCTCAGTCTGGCCAGCTGGCCACTGGAATGGCACCCGTCAGATCATGTCGGCCTGCCGATGCCCGCGTTTGCCGCCGCCCAGGCATGCCTGGCCAGGCTCGGTTGGCGTTGAGCTTGATTCTGGAGCGTGTGTCGCCCACCGCGGGGCACTAACATTCTGAGCCTCGTCGGTGGCGAGGGGAGGCGACATAGTGAACTTCCCGCACAACGAGAGCGTTCAGTTCGTACTGCGGGAGCTCGCCAACGCGTTCTGCAGCGGTGGGCCAAGTTTGGACGTCCCGTCTAATGCATCGCCTACGTCTGCCTCCCCAGGGCGTGCCTCCTCGCTTCTGTCCACGTTTCTCCCTCTTTGTCGATCTCCTCCACGTCCTCATTTGGATCCTCTCCACCTCCGTGTCCCTCCTCGTCAACTCTTCCTCTTCCTACCCCTCTGGGAGCGGAAGTAACAGGCTGAGGAGGGTGGTTGGAGGGGAAAAGCAGGGGAAGAAGGAACATGATGAGGAACAACGTCGGCAAGAGGGACAACATTAGGGGGGGGGGGTGTTGCTGACGGCTTTTCCCAACCATCCTGTGGTGTTGGGTCCTCGTTTCGAAGAGGCGGTCCCCGCGTTCCTCCCCTCTCCTCTCTCCTCCTCCTCCCCCTCCTCCTTCCCCTCCCCCTCCTCCTTCCCCTCCCCCTCCTCCCTCCTCCCTGCGTTTCCCTCACCGAGTACAGCGTTTCGTGGCCCCATAGGGGGAGCTCCACCGAAGGCCCCAGCGGGGCTGCCCGCATGCGTCCGCCACACCCAGTACATCGCTTCGTGGCACCATAGGGAGCTCCACCGAAGGCTCCAGTGGGGGTGCCCGCATGCGTCCGCCACACCCAGTACGACGTTTCGTGGCCCCATACGGAGCACCACAGAAGGCCCCAGTGGGAGTGCCCGGCTTGTGTCCCCATACAGATTTCCACGGACGGCTCAGTGGGGATGCCCGCATGCATCCGCCACACCCAGCACAGCGCTTCGTGGCCCCAAAGGGGGCTCCAGCGAAGGCCTGAGTGGAGAGCTCGCATGCGTCCTCCACACCCAGTACAGCGCTTCCTGGCCCCATAGGGGGCCCTATAATCAGGGAGCTCCACCGAAGGCTCCAGTGGGGGTGCCCGCATGCGTCCGCCACACCCGGTACATCTCTTCGTGGCCCCATATGGAGCTCCAGCGAAGGCCCGAGTGGTGGTGCCCGCATGCGTCCGCCACACCGAGTACAGCGTTTCGTGGCTCCATATTTGGGCTCCACTGGCAGCCCCGCTGGCACCGCCCGCATGCGTCTCCACAACCCACTTCAGCGCGTCGTGGCCTCACGGGGAGCTCCACCGAAGGCCCCAGTAGGACCACCCGCATGCTTCGCCCTCACCCATGATCGCACGCCCCATCACGCGTTGCGCGGTCCACTGGAAGAGGCACCCACAACGCGTTTCTCACAATTATATATGGTTGGGTCCTTCACCCGGATATTTGTTTAATGTTCCATACTCTCTGTCCTGTTTGTCTACTTATTTTAGTTGTGTCTGTTGTTGTTCCTCTGCCCCTTTTCTGTTATTATCGGCGTAGCCATCTCTCTCAGTCAGTCTCTTCTCTCGATGTATGAACTTATCTGTATATCCACATAATAGACGGCTCCTTTCTATGGTTTTTCAGATGAAGGTTTTTAAATGCTGATGATACTTAAATGCTGATGATACAGGTTTTTAAATGCATTTAAAGTCTACATCAAAATATTATATGCAGGAGTACCAGGGCCAGGCCCCCAGGCTGACACACCATCCCGGACTTCCCCGCCCCCTTTGCCCCCCCCCCCCCTCCCGATCCCCAGGAAGGCTCCAAGATGCTCCCCAAGAGGGCCCCGGATGGCCAACACTGCCCCATTCCATTCGCAAAGCGTACATGTTCAGCATACTCGTTTTTGGGTCCTCACAACGCCCAGGACGGCCCGAGAGGCCCCGAATATCACCCAAGAAAACTAAAAAGGCCCCCAAGAGAGCCCCAAGACGGCCCAAGAGAGCCCCAAGACGCCCGAAGAGTCGCCAAAAACAGTTCAAGATGGCCCCAAGAGGGACCCAAGAGGGGGAACTCCAGCTCGCATGTCGAGCCCTCGCCCGAGAATCATGCCAGGAGACCCCAACAGGTATCCGAGAAGCCTCTGACTCACAACCCAGGCACGGTGGCAGTACGAGCCTCGAGCGGGCATCACGCCACCTTGCAGTCCAGTCGGGTTTGCTTCGCCTTGGTGGGCGCTCAGCGTCGCGCTAGCCTGGGGGGACGAGGACCGAGGAATTTGGTTCTGGGCGGCGGGCCATTTTCATGGCCCGTCGCCCAGAATTCGTAGCCCGTTCCGTCGCCCGCGGCATTTCGCCTCCTGCCAGGGCCGGGTGTCCCAAGGCGCCCCCCCGAACGCGAGACGTGGTCAAGGGAGGATCCCGGGGGGCGTCCAAGGTCGAAGCCTCAGTGTCCCGAGGCGCCCCCCCGGCCGGGAGACGTGGTCGACAAGGAGGGGTGCCCGGGAAGCGTTCCAGAGGAGCACAGAGCGAGGATCGTGGAGGTTTGTTGATTCTGATGGTTTCCACTCGAGTCTCCACTCTCTGTCTCTCTCTCTCTCTCTCTCTTTCTCTCTCTCTCTCTATCTTGTATTCTCGTATATCCCCCCGTTGTGTCCTGAGGGGCCCTTCTGGCCGCGAGACGTGGTCAAGGGGGGGCGCCCGGGAGGCGTTCAAGACGAGCGCAGAGCGAGGAGCGAGGAGGTTTGTTGGTTCTCCTTGTTTCCGCTCGAGTCTCCACTCTCTGTCTCTGTCTCTCTCTCTCTCTCTCGTTGTGTCCTGAGCCGCCCCCCCTCAGCCGAGAGACGCGGTCAAGGGGGGGTGCCCGGGGGGCGCTCAAGGTTGAAGCCGTTGTGTCCTGAGGCGCCCCCGCGGTCGCGAAACGCGGTCAAGGGGGGGGGGCCCGAGGAGCGAAGGTTGAAGTCGTGGTGTCTCGAGGCGCCCTCTCGGCCACGAGACGCGGTCAGGGGGAGGATGGGCGCTCGCTCAAGGTTGAAGCCGTAGTGCCCTGGACGCCCCCCCGGCCGGGGGACTCGGTGAAAGGAGGAGCGCCTGGGGACCTTTGTCCTGAGGTCATCTCTCACCACGTTCATCATATCGCTTGTGTCCCTGCAGCCACATGTGTGCCCCGTCCAATCAATCTACGGGGTGCCCAAGGCGCCCCAAGAGAGCCCCAAGAGGGTCCCACGGGAGGCCCAAGAGGGCCTCACGAGGGTGCCAAGAGGGGGCGTGGGGCAGTATCTTGGAGGGTGTGGTTCCTAACATGCCCCCGAGACCCCCCCCGGGAGGCCCCCAAAGATTTCAAGGAACCCCCAGAAGCTCCCGAGTGGCCTCGAAAAGACGCCGAGAGGCCCCCCAAAGGCCCTGAGAATCACACTGCGAGTCTGCGAGAGGCGTCCAAGAGGCCCATGAGACGCCCCTAAGTAATGATCCATGTCAGGGGTGTGCTGACATGGGCGGGGCGGTGGGATGCGAACCCTTTCTCTGGGGCCGTCGGTCTTGGGGCACGATCCGTGTGAGGAGTGCGTCGAAATACGCGGGGGGACGCTATGCGAACCTTGCGCAACACGTGGAACTACATCCTTCTGGGGCACGATCCGTGTGAAATGTGTGCCGACATGGGCGGAGGGACGCGTGCGAACTTTGTCCCAAGCTCCCGTGGGTGGCGCGATCCGTGTGCGGGGCGTGCCGAGATTGGCGGGGCGATGCTACCTAGTCCGCGTGATTGATACGTGTGCACCTCGAAGTCAAACCATCGGTGGGTCGCTACTTCAGTCAAGGGCTGCGGCTTGCTAGAGCCTGGGACGCGCTACGTGCCGCCGCCACCGTCGCGGTGCCACCGCTGCCTCCGTTTCGCCGCGGGCGTTTCGGTGCGAGCCTGGTGCCGCGTGCGCCAGGCTCCACTTCTGCCAGGCCAACAAGTGGCTTCTTGGAGCCCACTTTTGGATCCCATTGCGGCACCCTTGACGCCATTCTGGAAGCTGCTCGCGAGCCCTCGCTGCGTGCTTTTACTGTTGAGGGGGTGTTTCCTTGGGCCCTCTCTTTCTGACGCCATCTTCTAACTTTCTTGGGTCGCCTCTTGAGTCCTTCTTGTGCCCCGTTCTGGAGCCTGCTGAGAGCTGCTTGGTCCACGCTTGCGCTCCCCTTGGAGCCTTCCTCGGTGAATTCATTGGCTGTTCTGGGGTGCCCTTTGGCCCTGACTTGGGCTCCCCTTGGGGTGCTCGTGGGCTCTTTCTAGGGCAGCTCGTCTCTGGGATCTCCGAGTTCCCGGAATTATGTTCGCTAGTTTGCGTTATTGCGCATGTGATTGCATTGTATTGCGTTGGGTAGTTCTCCTTTGCGTGTGCAGTTACATTGCTTCGTGATCCGCGTTGCACTGGTGTGCATTGTTCTACGTTGCGTTGATGTGCGTTGCACTGCATGGCTGCGCATGTGTTTTGCTAACTTGAGCTGATGTTTCAAGCCGCATTGGACCCGCATCCTGTTCGATGGCATGACAATGCGTTGCATTGCGCTGCCGCTTTGGTCACTCATTGCTGTGTTTCATTGGTGTTTACACCTTCATTTAATAGTATGCGACTGTCCTTGCCGACAATTCAATTCGTATCTGCCCTGCCCGCGTCCTAGGTGCATTACAATCCATGCTCAAACCATTTGTGGGTAACTATGTCAGCGGTGATGTAACCTTGTCAAAAGCTGGGGCTGACTAGAAGCGAAGCGCGCGACGCGCGCGTGTTCTAGTAGGTATAGATACTTAGTGGCATTCGGTCCATTCCGCCTCCGCCCCTGGGGCGTCGGTCGGAGTCCTCTTGGATGCGTGTGGGGGTCTATTGGGAGGTCTCTCGGAAGCCTCTTAGAGGGGGTTCTGGGGGTGTCGTGGGGCCCCTTTGGGCGTCTTGAGGGCCCCCTGGGGCCTGGTTTGGGGCCTCTTAGGGGCCGCCCGTGGCTGCTGAGGGGTCCCTTGGAGGCCTGTTGGCGGTCTCGGAGACCTTCGCCGAGCTGCGCAACGCAGCGGCCGATCCCACGTCATAGCCAAACGTGGTGCCCGCAACCGCTGCGACAAGGTCGTGGTCCAGGCTTCTGCCGAGCTTGAAGCAGTCTGCTCCGTGTGGGAAGGGTGTACTTTTGCGACCATGAAGCCTATCTATACATACGACTATCTGTATATGCACGAATGTGTGTGTGTGTGTATATATGTCTCCCTCTCTCTGCCTGTCTCTCTCACTCTCTCTCTCTCTCTCTCTATATATATATATATATATGTAAAGATCTCTCTCTTTCCCTCTCTCTCTCTCTCGTGGGGGGTGGGGGCAACCAGGCCTGGACAGGCGAAGGGATCTCCCTATGTTGCTGTTCGCTCACCGGTCGACAGCTCACCGACTCCCGCGCCGACCAACCACCGACTCCGACACCGAACATCCCGCGTCGACCAGCTGGCCGATTCCCCGACCGACCAGGTTACCGATTCCCTCACCGTCCAGCGCACCGACTCCCGCGACGGCCAGCTCGCCGGCTCCAACACCGACCAGCTCGTCGACTTCCTAACCAGCCAGCTTGCCGGCTCCCGCACCGTCCAGTTCAGCGCCTCCCGCACCAACTAGCTTGCCGACTTCCTCATCGACCAGCTCAACGAATCCCTCACTGACCAGCTGGCCGAACCCTGAACCGACCATCTCACCGACTCCGGCACCGACCAGCTCACCGACTCCCGCGCTGACCAGCTCCTCGACTCCCGCATGTCGACGGCTTCTCCAGCACATGCTTCCGACATTTCCTTCTCTATGCGGGTTGTTGCTACCAGGATGGGAGGGGTGCTGACTGTGATTTTGGGTGTACTGGCCTATCCGCCTGACACCCCTGCTGCACGAGGAACTCGCTCGCCGATTCCAGCGCCGACCAGCTCTCCGACTCCCACGCCTACCAGGTCCCACGCCTACCAGGTCGCCGATTCCCATGCCGGCCAGCTCACCGACTCCCGCGCCGACTAGCTTGCCGACGTCCGCACCCACCAGCTCACCGACTCTGGCGCCGACCAACTCGCCGACTCCCTCGTTGGCCAGCCCGTCGACTTCTGCATCGAGCAGCCCACTCCCTCTCCGACCAGTTCACCGACTCCCGCGCCGACCAGATCGACGATTTCCGCCCGCATCGACCAGCGCACCGACCCGCACAGACCGGCTGACCGTTTCCCGCGCCGACCAGCTCCTGGACTACCACACCGACCAGCGCCGAACAGTTCACCGGCTCCCAGCCCGACCAGCGCAAGAATGAGGACGACCCACCGTGACGAGCACCATGCTCTATGGGGATGCGGTGGGCCTCCTCCTGGAGGATGGGCTGGCATCCCCCGAATCGCTCTGCGAGGGGATTTGGCGCGAGCCGCACCGACCAGCTCACCGACTCCCTCGCCGACCAGCTTAGCGGCTCCCGCGCGATCAGTTTACCATCTCCAGCACCGACCAGCTCGCCGACTCCAGCGCCAGCCACCACACCATCACAGCAACGAAATTCGTGACATGTTCGTTGCATCGTGCATTGGGGTTCGATTTGTTTTCTCCGTATCGGTGTCGAGGATTCCCGCACTGACCAGCTCAAAGACTCTCACAGCGACCAGCTTTGCGGCCCCAGCACCGACCCGCACACCGACTCCCTCGCCGAACAGCCCACCGACTCCCGCATCGACCAGCCGACTCCGACCAGCTCACCGTCTCCCGCGCCGACCAGTTCGACGACGCCCGCGTTGTCGACCAGCTCACCGATTCCAGCGCCGACCAGCTCTCCGACTCCCGCGCCGACCAGCTGGAATCCCACACCGAGTAGCTCATCGACTCCTGCACTGACCCGAATGCCGCTACACGCGGGATCCACAGCTACCTCATGATCGTGCCACTGCTACAGCTTGTGCATGTTGTCCGCACTCAGTACCCCCTTTAATTCCCAGCCGCACCAACGGCCAGCAAAAGGAGCCACACTTCGTTGTGGCGTGGCCGGGCTCTCACCAAGCGGGAATAGCCAACGAACGCGCCCAAAAAAGGGCCACACTTTGTTGTGGCGTGGCCGGGTCTGACCAAACGGGAATGGCCAACGAACGCGCCCGTGCTTGATGAATACATCCTCGGGAGTGATTGCTCTGGTATGCAAGTGCAGCGCCGCATGGATATGCATGTGGTGGCACATGGCCAGAAGTTGCGAAACCACGTGGTGCAAGCGCGGAGCGGCCCACCGACTCCGGGGCCGATCAGCTCGCCGACTGCAGCGACCAGTTGAGCAGCTCCCACACCGACCAGCTCGCCGACTCCCTCGGCGACCAGCTTGCCGACTCCCTCGCCGACCTGCTCGCCGACTCCCGCGCCGACCAGCTCACCGACTCCTTCGCATACCAGCCCTCCGACTCCCGCACCGACCAGCTCAACGGCTGCCGCGCTCACCAGCTCACCGACTCCCAGCCCGACCAGCTCAAGAAAGGGTACCACGTCGACGGGGCCTGGCAATACGAGGTTCTGCAGCACGGCGGCGTGGAGTGAGCCAGTGAGCGCTGTCGACGAGGTTTACAGCTCTTCCCTTCCTTTCCTTTTTCATCCCCTGCCGCCTGGCGCCTGCAGTCTCTGTTCGTCTTGCACGTGTTGTTTAGTTTTTCTTTGGGTTGGGGCCCATTGTATGCATTTGCCGGACGCCCCCTCGTCCGCTGGCGGGCGACCCCAGCCACTGCGTTGGGCATGCCCTCCCGCCACCAGGGGTTGGCCCGTGCGTGGTGCTGCTGCCACGCGATCACATGATATATCTGCAGTACCTGTTCAATGTTTCCTTGTACTGTTCTCTGGCTGTGCCTTTCTAGTTTGCTCCCGCGAGGGTGTCGGTGCGGGTGTCGTCCTTTATGTTCGGCCTACGCACGCGCGGGTTCGCTTTCTTTCTCTGCCTGCTTCCTCTTGTTCTCGTCCGCCTCTGCCCCACCCCCTCAGACACATGCAACAAGGTGGTTGCATTTGAGTCGCAAATTATTCCTCATCTATATAGTGCCACCCGTGTGCTGCTGTTCCCTGATTTGAAGAAGGGGTCATGGCGCATGGAGTGCTCGGCATGGTGCAACAAGGAGGTTGCATTTGAGACGCGTGTTATTCCTCATATGTAGTGCCACCCGTGTTCTGTTCCTCCCTGCTTTGAAAGGGGTCCAGGGGCATGGTGTGCTCGGTATGGTGCAACAGAGAGGTTGCATTTGAGACGCGCCTTTTTCCCCTTATCTGTGGTGCCAGTTTGCTCGGGGAGAACCAAAAAACTGTGGTGCTGTTCGCTCCCTCCCGGCGGCACGCGCCGTGCCATGGGGGGGGGGGGGGCGTGCGGGAGGTGGGCGCGGGTCGTGCACGCCCGTCCTGTACACGGCGGGCAACCACGACTGGTTCGTAGAGGCCCGTCCCGCCCCCTTGCCGCTGGGAGAGGGGAAGGGAGAAGCGGGAGAGGTGGCGGGGGGGCATGCGAGGCGGGGGCGGAGAGGAGGAGGAGGGGGAGCGGGGGAGCCAGGGGGGAGGGCGGGAGGGAGGGCTGGAGGAGGAGAGGGAGGAGCGGGAGCAGGAGCAGGAGCAGGAGAAGAAGTGAGGTCAAAGTGCCAGGATGGGGGGAAGACGAGGAGCTGGAGGGAGCAGACCCCCACGTAAAAAGCTGGATCCCCCCTTCCTTCGCGAGATTATTTTCCGCACCCCCCCTCTCCGCAGAGGGCGCCTTACTATTCCGGACCTTCCCAGCAACATTGCGAGCGCGATCGTTCATGACGGCGGTAACCTCGGGGAGAACGGTGATGATAAGTAGACGCCGCTGCCAACGTGGAGGTTGGACCACACTGTTGAGTAAAGTGATGGGCGCAAGGGCTACTAGTATCCATGTTCCTCCGCAGAGTACTTGCGAGGCGCACGGAACCCCAGGAACGATAAAGGCCCGACGCCCAACAAAGCAGGCCAGAAAGTGCGAGGAACCCCACGTATGCTGAAAACCCATGTGGTTCTAAAGGTTATGGTGCGTAAGGATGGTGTGAAATTGGATGCGCAAAAGGCGCCCAAATGAGCCGGACCCCCCTGAACGTTGGCTTCCAACAAAACGCCTTAATAAACCGGACCCCTCTGCCTCCCAAAAAGGCGCTTAAAAAAACTGGACCCGGGGGGCGATTATGGAAGAATCCGGGGTATTCGGGCGACATATAAACAACAACGACAGTCCTACTTCCTGCTCGCCCTTATAAAATCCAAGTTGTTGGACCACCACAAGTTGAAGGACGTGTCCAAACAGAGCCGCTTGTTGAACACCAATCGCCCTGGTAGGCATGTTCGACACTATAAATCATGCGATATCGATTTCGAAATGGAGCCGGCATTCAGTCATATTACGTCATGGTAGTCCGAGCTGCCTGTCGTAAACTAAACAGGAAGTCTATTCCAGAAATAATTTGGAGAAGGAATTGCCCTTTCACCCGTTTCACACAGATGCTAGTTGCTACGACGAAACGCGCGTTGCGATTATGAGAAAGGTTTGCTTTCCATCTTCGTGATTGTGTTTGCGTGGGTGTGAGTGCAGGTCTTTTCCCCCTGGGCCTCCTTTCCGTCTCCGCTTGCTGCTCTGTTCAACACGCATGGATGTGGCCGCCACGGCGCTAGGCGCGTGGCAGCTGAGGCAAAAGTGTGTTTCTGTGCATGCCCAGCGTCGGGAGCCCAAACAATGAATTGAGGCTGTTGATGTAAAGGCTATGTGGTGCAGCCTGTGTGGTGCAACATGTTTGGTGCGTTGCAGAAGCTATGTCGTGCAACCGATGGGCCGCAAGCCAGGAGGTGCAAGCAACATGGAACAGCCAGCGCACGAGGCGCCCACGAGGCGCCCACTGGCGGCGACTGGGCGAACACTTGGAAATGGCAGCCAGCGCACGAGGCTCTCACGAGGTACCCACGGGCGGCGTCCGGGCACAACCCTGACAGCCAAAGCCTATGATGTATGACTAAGAGCATACACAAGGACCCCTTAGTGCGAGCGCTTTGTGGTGCGGTGGAAGGGCGTGCGGTGGTGAGTCGAGGGCCACAGTTCGAAACCCACCCGCACTCCATCCACGTAGCAGTTGCACTGCGTTTCGGCATTACGCAAGTCAGGTGAGAGCCAGACTTTGAAAACCATGTGCTCTCGATGTAGCTAGCTGCTGGACGTCCCAGACTTCAATATCCTTCATAAGCGGTGAGGGCGTCTCAGGCGAAACGCCCGACCCGCCATACCGACACGTCTGGCTGCGCGAGGGGCATGCGTTTTGCCTTGTCAGGAAGAGAGGTGGACAATGAGGGGAATCGCTGGAGGGAGGGTGGGAGAGACGAGGAGGAGGAGGGAGGAGAAAAGGGGGAGGAAGAAGAGGCAGGAAGAGGAGGGAGGAAGAGGAGGAAGAGCAGGAGGAAGAGGAGGAGAACAGCGAAGGGGAGAAATTATGATGTGGAGCAGCACGCCCATGTAAGCGGAGGCCTTCTTGGTGCATGGCAGGGGTGCGCGCCAGGGATTGTGGACGCTTGCTCCTGTCTGTGCCCTCCCCCCTTCCCCCTCCCCCAAGCACCAGCCCCGCGTCCTAGTCCTCGCCCCTCCCTCCCAGTCCTTTCTCTTATCCTCCTCTTATCACCCTCCGCCTCGTCCATCTCCGTACTCTCCAATTCCCCCTGACAGCCCATCTTTCTCCTTCTCTTCCTCCTTCTCCTCAACGCTCTCCTCCCCCTTCTCATCCCTGGCCTTCTTCCACGTTTCGCACCTCCTTCTGATACTGTCCCCCTCACTCTCTTCACCTCCTCTCCTCCCTGCTTCCACTCCTTCTTCCCCTCTCCTTATTCCCAACTCCCCACCCTCACCCTCGCCCTAATGCTGCCGGTATTCCTCCTGCTGCTGTTCTTCATCTTCGTCACGTCCTACTCATCCCCATTCTCATCCTCGTCTTCCTGCTTCTATCCTCATGCTCCTTCTCGTCCCTTTTCTTCTCCTTCCTCTTCCTGCTCGTCCTGCTCCTCCTGCTGCTCCTCCTTCCTCACCCACCCCGAGGCCCGGTCACGCGGTCCTCCTCGCGCGGGGGGCGCATTCCAGGGGATGTGGGCGGTAGGAGGAGGAGGAGGAGGAGGAGGAGGAGGAGGAGGAGGAGGAGGAGGAGGAGGAGGAGGAGGAAGAGGAGGGGGAGGAGAAGGAGGAAGAGGAGGAGGAGGAGGAGGCGAGGAGGAGGAGGAGGAGGAGGACATGACGAGGACGAGGACAAGTCGAGGGTAGGATGATGACGAGGACAGGACCAGGCCAGGAGCCGGTGGGAGGACAGGAACAATGAGGAGAAGGAGGAGAAGGAGAAGGGATGAGAGCGGTGGACGATGGCAGTGCGGGGACAACTAGCGAGGGAGGACGAGTACGACGGGCAGCAGTGAGCAGGATGAGCAGGAAGAGAGGCTGGGGAAGAGGGGATGAGGAGTGGAGTCTCGGAGGATAGGGATGGAGTCGGCCCCTCCTCCCTTCTTGCTTTCACCCCTTCCTTACCCCCCGGCATCCCCAGGGCATGCCTATACCCCGCGCGGAGCAGCAGAGGGAGTCGATTCGAGGCGTCCTCAGGCGGGGGCAGGGGCTGGGGCAATGCCGCGCTCGGGGCTTTCCGCATCAGGAAACCGGACGGGCGTGGGGCGCTCTAGAGTAGCCCCGTCTTCTCGCTGTCGGCGGAAGCTGGCGGAGGTTTGGCGGAAGCCGGCAGGTGTAAAACGGCGGCGTTTCCGCTGGCGGAGGCCAGCGGAAGGTCGAGGAAGGAAAGGGACGACGTCAACATACAGTATTTTGGAGCTGGGTGCTTGGAGTCGGGTGCTGTTAAGGCTCTGAAGATCTGAAGAAATGACCATTTCGGGTTCGGGAAGGGCTCGGATTTTCGAGCCGTTCCTAAGGTTTATGCAGCGGGACCTGTTAGTGGCCAAGGCCCGCTGTGGCCAGAAAAGCCCCTTCGTTCCTGACTCAAGAGGCCGATGGAATACAGTGCGGGCGCGGCCGCAAGAAACCCTTGTAAGAAACCCAACCCTGAGAACCCGTGCGCGAGGTGCACCTGAGGGGAAAACCGGAGCACCCTGAACGCAACAGCTCCTTAAACGGCTGCGGGAAGTCACCGCGCATGGCGAGGAGCGAAGAAACCCAGGATACCCTGACGAAAAGCACATGGTTTCTTGATGTGCGCCCCCACTGATCGCGGACACCGTCCTGATCGCTCGAGGCTGAATTCTTCGGGACCGTCGCGGAGCTGTGTGGGATCTATTGCGGGTTCTTAGGGAGCGTTTAGGGGGTCTTGGGTGTGCCACTTGAGCCTCTTGGGCGCCTGTTGGCGGTCTCGGGGGCTCTCTTGGGGCGGAGGGCTCGGAACGTCGGTTCGAGTTACCCCTCTTGGGCTCCTCTTGAGGCCCTGTTGAGGCGAGACTTCCGAAACCTGTTTGCGGCCCAGGCCCGGCGTGGCCAGAAAAGCCCCTTCGTTCCCTCTTCTCCGTTCCTTCTGGTGGCACGATGGCCCTGCGGGCGCGCGCGGCAGCCCAGGCCCCAGCCGCCCCACGGGTTGGGCCTATGCCCCCGGCCGCCTGCCCCCCGCCAACCTCGGCCTGTCCTGCGGCTTGCTGGTCCGGGGTTTATCGCTTCCTTCGAGGGCGGCCCTCTCCGATGCTCCCCCGAGCCTTCTTCAGTCTCGGGCGGCTCGGCTCGGAGCCCAGTCCGTGCTGCCGGAGGGAGCTCCCCGTGTTCCCCACAGGCGCAGAGTGCAGTCGCGCTGGAGACATATGTGGCGTCGTCGTGGATGCCCCCTAAAGAACTGATGGTCTGGAGCTTACTGCTTCACCGCTCCAGAGACAGGCGGCGCCGACCACAGCGGGAGTCCCCAGTCCTCCTGTTTTGTTCACTGAACTCCCTGCTTATGCGGGGAGGGGGTGATAATGAGGATGAGGATGAGGATGTTGATGATGATGTTGATGATGATTGTGATGATGCTGATGATGATGATGCTGATGCTGATGCTGATGCTGATGCTGATGAGCATGCTGATGCTGATGATGATGATGATGATGGTGATGATGATTGTGATGGTGATGGTGATGATGTTGCTGATGATGAGGATGATGATGATGAGGAGGAGGAGGAGGAGACAAGAAATGAAGAGGAACAGGCGCCGGATGAGGAGGGCGGATGTGTAGTGTCGTGCTGTTTGGCGCTGGCACCTCAAGGCTCAAGATTCGATCAAGGGGGGATGTCCCTTCGGCGAGCTACCAGTGCAGTTGTCTGACGCTTGTCTCTGTTTCTTTCTGCCCCTCTCTCTCTCTTTCTCTCGCTTCCTGCCTCTTGTCCTGCTTTGCCCCAATTATCTCCCCGCTTGTGGCAGCGAGGATGTGGCTGCTGCCGAGGGCCTTCCCCTCCCAGAGCCCGCCTCCGCCCCGCCATCGCCACGCGGCGAGGCTCAGGCAAGAGCTTCAGGATCGTTCCCGCGCGCTCCAGCCAGATGCTTTGCGATGTTGAGACTAGGCCGGTAACCGGCGCTGCCCAGACAGCGGGATGATCGGGCGTTGCGCAATGGTGGGGCGATAGGTGGGGGGGGGGCAAAGAAAAGTGCACCTCTTGTGCCCTGAAATGGCCCTGAAGCGGCTCCCGTAGAGCTCCAACAGGGGCACGAAAGGGGAACGTTTCCCCCCCCGCCCACTGATCGCCCCCCCCCGCTCTACGCAACTCCCCAGATGACATGACAATGGCGAAACCCGTCTTGGTACGGCAAGTTCGCGCCGGTTTGACCCGTAGGCGTTCCCGCCGCCGGCGCTCAAGGCTGAACGCAGCCAGTGTTGCCGAATCGGCCGATATCGAACGTTCTGCACCCTCGGAGAGCCGGGGCGGTGCCAGGAACCAGCGCACAAGTCGTCACGGCAGGAGCCTGTCGAGCAGCTCCTCCGTGCCCCGTGCACATGTCATCTACCAGCTTCCCTCCTGCAACGCGGAGCAGTGGTGCAAGCCCGGAGGCCATTGTACTACTTCGGCAGCCGCGGGCGCGGACGCCGACACGCAGGATCGGGGGCACTAGAGGGGGCTCACGCGCGGGCAGGGTAGGGCTTCGAGGAAGCTTCGCGCGCACCCAGACGGCGTGCCCACTGAACGACGTAAGAAATCGGGGTCGGCTGCACCAGCATTAGCGCGCAAGTCGTGTCGGGCGACGAGAGCAGGGGATAGGAAAAGGGGAAGCAACGAAAGCTCCTGCATGCAGCCGGTTTCGGCCACGCCGCCGGGTGCCTGGGAAATCAGCTACGTGAACAGATTCGCTAACCCCCCTTTTATCCCCCCCCACCCTACTCACGTCCATCCTATTGAAAGCTGCCCGCGTGAGGTGGCACACAAGCGCCGTCTTCTCCACGTGGGAGTTGCCGCGCTGGCGGACTGCGCAGGTCACAGCGTGAGGTCACCATGCCCTCTCGTGCAAGACCCTCTCCTTCCGTCGCTCGATTGGGGGCGGGAGGCAGGGAGCCTAGGGAGGGAATGGAGCGAGCGAGCGAGGAGACGTAAACAGACATTTTGCCGGAACACGGGCTTGCCTCCTCCTTGAAAAAAAGTCCTGGGATCCATTCTGATGGCCCAATTGTTGTGAGGTGTGTGCAGTGGACGGTTGCTGTGAGTTTCAGGCTCGGTCCCGTCAGTTCTCTGACTGCCCCGTCAGGCGAGTTTCAGCATCCCAAAACTCGAGCCTTATGCCGCATGCCTCCACGAAGAGAATCAAAGGGATGATGAGGCTGCAGAGAGGGCGGGTCCGAGGCAGGGTGGTGTTGGGAGTGCTTGGGGCAGCGAGGGCTGAAGTGGCCAGGCCAGAAGATGGCAGGATGAGTTCGTCTTTGCTGTGGCCGAGCACCCACCACCACGCGCCCTCCTGCTCACGCCCCGCACGCGGGCGGCCACTCCTGCGCACGCGTCGGCAGCCAGGCGTGCACTATGGCCGCATACCTCCGATTGAGTTTCTGATTGTCGCAGCGCGCAAAAGGACGGCACGGGCCGAAGCAACTCCTGGCCCCATTCCTGGGACCCGCTGTTCGTGGAGAGGCCGTCTCTGTGAGTGCACCCAGTGCTCGGAAGCAGCCGGCAGAGCCCGAGATTTCGACACAGGCGCTCGTCCGTAAGTCAGTGTCGGCTCGTCCTTGCATGCTCCCTCAAAAATCGTCCCCCCCGCCCCCTTCCGGACGCCAGCCGAGCTCGTTTTTCGAGCTGGGCCCAGCCGTGGCCGCCAGGGCTCCCCACGAGGCCCCAACCTTGCCCACAGCAGTAAACTTTCACCAGATCTCGGTTGCCGTCGTCGTCGTCGTCCTCTTCCTGCTTCGCCCTCCCCCTGGGCGCCTGCTCGCCCTCCTCGTGCCCTCGCTATAAGCATCCATATCCAGTATACGAATGGGCTTTCCCCAAGAAGGGTGCCTTCCCCTGGACCCATCCTTCGAGCCCGAAGAACTGTCCCAACGGCGGTCCGCCCGCTCGCACGCAGACCCGGAAGTCTGTGGCGTGATCTCGCCCTCCAGCGCGCCTGCCGCAGCTGGCTGCCCGCCTGCATGCCTGCACGGCGCACGTGCGCCAGGGCGGGCCGCCAGGGGCTGCCCCTCGGGGCGCCCGGAGGCGCACGCGGAGGTGGCGGTACGCCCCTCGGGGAGCTGGTCACCCAGCTCGGGCTCGGACCACCAGCTCCTTGCCCTGCTTCCTTGATGGTCCTCCGCGAGGGGGACCCCGGGCCCAGGCCACGATCCCGACGACTTCTCCTCCGTGGAGATCGGCGGGGGGGAGGGCCGCCAGCCCCTGCTGCTGGTCGTCCTGGACAACTCCAGGCACGAGGTCCGCGGTTGTGGCGTGCAGGGAGGGCGGCTGCTCGTGGCTGCCTCCAGAGGGCAGCAAGAAATCGTCCCCTCTTGCTCCTCCTTCTCGCCAATCCTCCTCCTCCTCCCTACCCCTTCTCGCCCCCCCTCCGCTTCCTCCTGCTTTTCCTCTTCGCCTGATTGCTGGGTGAGACCCCGAGCCCTACACATTGTGCATGACTGACTTTCCAAAAGCCTCATGATTGTCGCGTGTCTGTGCTGTCGCAAACCAGCGGGATTAGCAATGAGAAACTGTTCGGAGACCAGCGCGAAGAGAGACACCAAGAGGACGAGCAGCACGAGGAAGAGACACAGGAACACCGCCTCGGATGAATAGAAGCCCCGGCGCCGCAGCGCAGGCATTCGCCTCTGGGGGCTCAGCTGGGGCCCGCCCCCCCCAACCCCTTCCTCTTGTTTTCCCCCTCCGGAGGCGGAGGTTCGGGTCGTCTCCCCCCCCCCCCCCCTCGTGATGCCCCCTGCCGGGCCATCCCGCGCCCGCTGCCCCATCCGCGGGCGGCGCCACGCAGGGCGCCAGCTGCTCCCCGAGCCTCGCCCCCCCTGGGACAAGGCTGCACGCCTCCTGCGGGGGCCATGGCTGCACGCCGCATTCGTTCCGCCGCCCCCCCCCCGCCTTTCCCCCCCCCCTTCGAGGAGCACGGCTTGCCCCCCCGCCCACCACGCCCCGGGGGACGTGGTCGCTTCTCCCGCCTGGCGCAAGAACGTATGACGAACGAGCAAACACACACACACACACACACACACCCACCCATTGGATGCGTGGTGTCGCATGGCGGTCCCCGCTCGAGCGGGAGCCTCCCCAGGGGTCCGGCAACCCGCACCCGTACCCGTGGCCGGTCCTCCTGCCGACCCCCGTGTGGGCATGATGTGTGTGTGTGTGTTGTTCGCTCGTCAGATGTGTGATTGTTAATTGTTGTGTTTCACCACGGCTTCAATTCCGGGCCTGCACCGTTGGCACGGCTTCGCTCCTTCGCGGGCCTTCCTCTGCCAGCCACGCCCTGCGGGGCAGGGCTGCACTTCCTGTAGGTTCGCCTCTCTTCCGACGGCCACGTCCTGAAATTCCACGAGAGGCATGATTGCACCCCCTGCCCCCTCCTCCGCCCGTCAGGTTCTGAAGGGCACATCCCATCCCTCGCTCCTCCTTGCCCAGGTCCAGCGCCCCGTGGGGTGGAGGCGTACGCGACAGAGCGGACGTCGCCACGCGGGGCGGAACACATTCAATCATCGAGACACCTTCATCCCTCCCTCCTGTGCCCCTTCGCCCTCCCCGCTCCCTCCTTCCTACTCCTGGATCGCGGGACCCGCTGGAAGGGACGAGCCCCCAGATGCCTCGGAGTAGACACCAGAAGGGCGGCTAAGCGAAGCTTTAGAGGCTCCACTCTGTGACCCGGAAGCTGTTCCCGCTTTCCGCTGGGATGACCGCTTTGCTTGAACTTCAATTTTTCTTCAGGACATTCTCCATCCACGGGGATAGAAGAAGGATCCTCCTCCTCCTCCTCCTCCTCCTCCTCCTCCTCCTCCTCCTCCTCTTGTATTTTCTCTCTTCCACTCTCCCCGGCCTCCTTCCCCCCTCCTGCATGCGTCTCCCCCCCCTCTTCGGGGACCCGGTCTCTGCAGACCACGCACGCTCCGTTGCGCAGGTCAGCAGCGCCCAGGCCGATTTCGTCATGCGGCAGCTGGCCAGGCGGCGGATGGCCAAAATTAGTCGGATCTTCACAAATGGGCTTGACGACTTTTCTTCACTCGACATGCAGGAATCAGGCCAGATAGATCGAGGTAATTCCAAGTAGTTGTAATCAGATACAAATAGCTCGAGGTAGATCCAGAGATCTCCAGGGAAATCTGAAGCATGGAGTCTCCAGCGCGAGTCGAGGGACAGCAAGTGGCGTCAAGCCCTTCACGATCGGACGAAAGGGTGGGAATAGGGAAAGGACGGGTGACAACACCTGCAGCGTGCAGGTGGTTTCGGCCCCGCCGCCAGGCGCTTTCCTCGATACATTGGCACCTCCGGCATCAGAAGGCGCCGGGGAACTCAGCTACGTGAGCTGCTTCGCTGACCTCTTCTCCCCCCCCCCTGTGGTCCGACCCGACGGGGAATGTGTTCGACCCCTCTCGCACATCCTCGTTCGGACGCTCAAGAGTTATCGCTATCACCAGATTTGGTTCCTGCATGCACCCAAAGGCGACATCCGTCTTCGGTGGGATTTCCCCCATTGGGTTGTCGAAGAAGTATCAGCACCAACTAGATTGACGAGTGTGTTCCCCCTGTGGTGGTGGCCCTGCATCTTAGTGGCGGTGCCGACTGCTCGGCATTCGGGCACCTGCTCCGCGTCTTCTCTCTCATCCTCCTCGTGTTCCTTCTTTTCTCCCTCCCTCCTCCGTGTCGTCTAAACTTCCTCCTCTATCCATCTCCAGCTCCCTCCTGCCCCCCTCCTCCCTCCTGCCTCCCCTCCCTCTTCCCCTCCTTCTCCCCCTGCCCCTGTTTTCCCCCTCTCCCCCTCCTTCCCTCCTGCCTGCACCATCCTCCCTCCTCCTGCTCCTAGTCCTCATCCCTCCCCTCCTCCCTCCCGCTCCCTCCTCTTTCTCCTCCCCGTCCTGTTGATCCTGCTCTTCCCCTCCTCCCTAATTTCTCGCTTACGTCAACATTAGCAGCAGTGGCAGCAGATGTGAAGTCAATCACTGCCTGAGCCGACCCCTCAATAATCGCAGGGCCTCCAGATCCTGAGCTGGTGGGTTGGGCATTGTTCATGATATGCGATGCACGTGAGAGGTCAACATGGAAACCATATCTGGGATGATAATTCAGATGGCACTCTACGAGCAGCAGCTTGGGTGGGGCATCAGCTTCTGCGTGTGATAACTGGTTACAAGGTACGGGCTCATCGAAGCTACAAGACGCGCGGACCAAACTGGTAAATCGCGTGTCGCATGAGATCCGTAAGGGCTTCGCCCCCATGCCGCCGGCCCCCCTCTCTTAGAATGGGACTTCCCACAATTGTGTTGGGATGTCTGGACGCTGACGTGAAGCAATGTCGGGACTTCAATCGAGGGCCAATATTTATATACGAGGGTTTATGGCTTCGGTGGCGCGAAGATTAAGTAATTAACGCAACTACTGCGTACTGTAATTTGAGGGTGTGTGGCTTCGGGGGCGCAAATATTGCGTAACTTACTAGAGTTTATAGCCTCGGGGGCGCAAGCATTGCATACTTTTCAATGGTTTATGGCGTCGGGGACACGAATCTTGTGCCATTTGCGAGGGGTGGTGGCATCGGGGACACAAGCATGGAGTAATTGACACAGGTTTTTGGTCCTGGGGACGGGAATGTTCTACAACTTTTGATGGTGTACGGCTTCGAGGGCGCGAGGATGCCGTAATGTACCAAGGTTTACTGTTTCGGGGGCGCAAGTATTTAGTAATTTACCAAGGTTTATGGCCTCGGGCGCGCGAACATTGAGTCAGTTACTAAGGAATATGGCTTCGGGGACGTGAATATTTTGTAATTTGTGGTGGTTTATAGCCTCGGGGACGCGGCTAGGGATTATGGGTTCGGGGACGCGAATATCAAGTATTCTCACGTGTCCCACGCCCCCCTCGGAATTCTGACAACGCGAATCGGGGACGTTTCACCAGGACGCTTCTCGGCTTCCCCTCGCGCGTTCAACGTTCAGCAATAATGAATTGGATAGAAGCAAAAAGCAGGATTGTAACAGTGGAAACTGGAAACTGCAACTGGAACAGGGAGCTGCACGCCTAATCTTCGCGACTTGATGGCCCCGCAAGGGGGCCAGCGGACACCAGATATCGGCACAACAAGATGAAAATTTGGTTTCAGGTGCTATGGGCTTGGCCAAGTCGCCCAGGCTGTAGACCCGATGTGTTCCAGCAGTTCGACGAACATCATAATTAGGCACTGGTGTTGGTGGACGCCAGCGCCATGACGGCTGCCTCCTGACCGAGCAGATGGACGCAGACAAGTTCTCAGACGTTTTGGTCGCAGGAGGTCGGACGGCGACGCACAGCATACATCGTGACGCAGCAGGCCTAGACAGCGGCATCGATCGCAGTGCACCCAATGGTGAGGGCCCCATGTGGTCACATGGTTGGTCCATGACTCAGCATAAGAGTTGGCAGCGACAGCCTCAGTATAGCATTTCCAGTCGTGTAACGGTGATAGGCGAACATATCGCCAGCTAAGTTGCATGATCACGGAAGTCAGGCCTTCCAGATGTGGTGGCCAACCGCACTGATGCTACCGTGTACTGGGTCAGAAAAGGTGTTTCGCACGGTGCACCTGCTGGTTAGGCATTATATCACTTGCTTGGTCATGACAAGTGTTTCGGACCTAGGTGCAGGGATGCCTGCAGCAGTGCATCTTCAAGCACTGCGGGTGTATACACGCTCCACCTTTGCATGGTTTCCGAAGCGGGCCAGGGGCGGCGCTGGAGGCGCCACCAGGGGGACCAGATCTGATCCAACTTATCAGCGTGGACTCGAGCGTTCATGGCCGTGTAGTTGCTTCCTTTTCCTTCTGCGGAGGAGCTGGCCGACACCGTCATCGTCGTCCTGCTTCTCGTTGTTATCAGGACGACAACGACGTCGTCGTTGTCTTGCATGTCTTCGTTCTCATCGTCCTCGTCGTCGTCATCGTCGTCGCCATCGTCGTCGTCGTCGTCGTCGTCAACGTCGTCGTCTTCGCTGCACGACGGCGACGACGACCCGCCAGCGGCCCGCAGGGGCCTGCCGTCCCTGCTTGTGGTGCACGTCCCGCTGATGATGCAGGGGGTGACGCCGAAGGATCGGCGGCCTCGCTCGCTGCCAGCCTGAACCGTCTGCAGCCCTCGTGGTACCTGCGTAGGCGCGCATGGGGCTCGTCTGGCCACGTCGAAGGCAAAGAGGGTGAGGAGGCCGGGGGGGTCGACGGTAATCGGAGGGAATGGTGGACGCAAGAGGAGGAAGAGGAGGAGGCGGAGGAGTGGAGAAGGAGGATGATGGATCGATGTGATGCCTTTGTGTGCCGTCTGCCGTTTGTTACATTCCCCGAATGACGTTGGCTATCGTGTTGTAGCTCCTCCTTCTTAGATATTTTCCAGCGCAGAGGCAGCCAGCTCATTTCCAGGTTTCTACACCTTGTTATTGAAGTTACACGATGACGTGAAAGCCTTATTGTATCTTACAGGCACCCAGTACAGGATTTACTGTATACATTGTATGCCAGAGGGGGCACGTAGCGTGCGTGTGCACGTGATGCAGTGAGGCTTGTACGTGGTGGTGGTTACGATGACGAGATTCGTGACGAAGTCCCCATGAAACGACACGGATCACCCTACACAGCGTGGGACAGCACGCCGCACAGCAGGACATATATTCGAGGACCCTAGTGTGGCACAACACCTGATTTAAGTGTCTCATTGCATTCGTGGGCCATCCATGCTTGAATGTAGGATGCTCATGTGTCAATGGCTTATTCGGTTCCCGAGGCATCGCATCATTACGTGCTAGACGGTTGCCTCCATCAGTTCAGCCATCTCCTAGCCGCGTGCGCGTCGTCTTATTGATTGTTTTTTCGCGAGCGTTGAATGGAGTATGCAGGCATTACGCGCTCAATGTGCGAGCAGACACGGGTAGATCCGTTCGCAGCGCAGGACAACAAGCACGTGCTTTGCGGAGATCCACGGTCCGTCGCGCGTATTCTTGTTCTGTTCGCCAGATGAGTGACGCAAAACAACGAGTTCCATCGTGTGGACATTCGCGCGTAAGCTGCCCGCGAAAGATGGCGCGTCAGCGCCATCGTTCCTAATCTAGCGTGCCGCGGTGGCGGCTCGCGGAAGCCACCGCGTAAGATCGCTATGCTATCTTGGGTAAGGCATGTTCTCTTTCGTCGTTAGGAGGCTGCCGTCTCACGATCGCTTGCTGCTGGCCCTCGCTCATGTCTGACTCGTTCTCGAGTGGAGCGGATGATGATTAGAAGGGAGATCCGGGGGAAACAAGACTATGTGAAGGATCGGCATAGTCTTGTTGCTTGTCTGTGCCATCCCACTCGGCGACCGTTCGGCTCGCAAGTTTTGGCTCACTGCTTCATTGGCACATCTCTGGCACACCTTTTCGACAGGAGGAGGCCTCAGAACAAGAGGACGAGGCGGAGGATGAGGGAGATGATTAGACGCAGGAGGAATGGCAGGTGGAGGAACGGGGGTTGTCGAAGAGAAGGCCGCGGAGGCGGCGGGGGATCCCTGAGAACGAGGTGGTAATTTCACCATCGACGAGAAGTCAGTGCATCCAGGCAGATGAAGGTCTCTGATTACAACGAGGAAGAGAAGGCAGCAGAGAACGAGAACAAATCCATCGCAACGCATTTGACCGCACGACTGTTGGCGTGTACCACCTTCTTTTGAGAGCGACGCACGCGTCCAGGCGATTCCCCAACTGCCCCAGCGGCTCAGCCAAAAGCCGCGAGGAGCCAGCGACGCACTCACGATGAGCAGGACCGAGAGGCAGAAAGCCTTCGCCGCAGAGTGCGGTCCCAGGAATCCGCATGCGCATGATGCGCCTGGTCGAGAGCTGGATACACGTGGTTCGGCCGCATGTCGCTCCAGCGCTCGGTCCTCGTGCGGATGGTACGGTTCCCCTCGCGAATCCAACGCCGTGGCTTTCAGATGTTTCGTATCTCAACCCAGCCATGTCTGTTTGCAGCTCCTTGGAAGGTCAGGACATCTGGATTGGGGCCAGAGGCGTGCAATATCCCGCTGGCTCCCGGAAGAGAGAGAACTCGGGACGATGCATCAGTTGCTCGGGTGTATGCAGAAAGGTTTTCTCCTCTACTCCCGGTGAGCAATGGTAGCTCTGCCGCGCCTGGCTGTCGCTGCCCGACGTTTCGTGTCCCACCTCGCCTCTGAAGCAATAAGTGTCCAGCTAAGGACAGCGTGGCCGCGGAGAGGGGTGCGGAGGAGGGAACGAGGCGGAGGAAGGGGAATAGGCTCGGAGGATGAGGGGGAGAAGGAGGCGGCGGGGAAGGGAAGGGAGTAGGAGGGAGTGGCGGGATGTGAGAGAAGGAGGAGCAGAATGAGGAGGGGGTGTCGGATCCTCGTGCAGAGGTTCAGTTGGGCTGCAGACATCCTTCCAATTCGGAGCGCCCGCCACTGTTTTAGATAATGCCGACCTGCAGGGCTAGGTTTCACATCCGGTTGCCCAGTTCTGACGCGGAAGACTGACCAACCTCAGGCCGACACAGGCGATCGGGTCTCACGTTGCTCTTTGGAGTGGCAGGCGGTGCGAGAGAAGAGCTCCCTGCCCTGGAGGGCGCGCGGGACTGCACGAGGGCACAGGCCGTGTAGCTCAAAATCGCAGCGCAGACCGTCCAAACAGAGCTCTTCACGGAATTGGCCAAGATGGCCAGTCAGAAGAGGAAGAAGAAGAAGCTTGCGGTCAGGAATTTTGGCTTTGCGTGTCGTTCCGCCTGCTCTGGCCCACCACGCTTCGGCTCGACACGCTGTGCACGTCCGTCCCAGTCCCCGAGCGTCAGTTTCCCGAGCTTTTCCCAGCCTCCCACCCCGCGGAGCGGAGGGACACAATGTTTGCGTGTCGCCAGGGACGCCGCCTCACACGCCACAAAAGAAAAAGTTGGCGACCGTGCCGGGACCACCCAGCACGCAGAGGTACCGCGTCCAGGGATGGGCCGACGTGCGGCGAGGGCGTTCTTGGAGCTCTGGCCAAGTGCCGCCGCGGCAGGCGTCTCAGGCACCGCGCGTGCGCTGGCCGAGCAGTCCAGACACCGGGATCGACGGCCCCCCCCCTACGGTAGGTTCGCGTCGTGTCCACCGACAGCGTCCCCGCCGCCGGCGTTCAGCGTTGGACGCCGCTGGCGACCCAGAATCGGTCGATTTTGTCCGATCTGACGTTTGGAACCCCGCGGTGTCAGGAACCAGCGCCGAAGTCGGCACGACACGAATTCGCCGTATGGTTGCTGCGACGGCTGGATACGGAGGCCCGCCGCTGCAGACAAAATGCTGGCCGCTCCCCGAGAGGACGAGGATGCCTGAGATTTCCGGCCCACGCCGTGTCCAGGAGTTCTCCACCATCCTGACCAGAAGCTTCGGATGCATCTCCTCAGAGGGTAAATTCAGAGTTGGCGATGGTATGTTACCACGCGATCGTGCGCATGCGTTGGCGATGAGGAGATCGGCAAGATGCTTCCCAGTGATGCCGCCAAGGGTCAACACTCAGGAGGGCACTCAGCACATCCTTCTTCTCCTCCTCATCCTCCGATCTTCGGTGTCCCAGTGCTCGTTGTCGTCCTCGTCATCCCCTCCATATCCTCACTCCTCCTCCCTCTTCCTCCTCCTTCTCATCCTTCCCTCCTTCGTGTTTCTGCTCTCCCCGCTCGCGCCAGGTACGGCTACGAGAGCGACACCTCCTGGCGGATAGAGCGTCGTGAGCGTTGGCACGCCTCGTGGGGAGGCGGAGGCGGGAGGATGAAGGATGAGATAACAGACCAATTGAAACACCAGCTTTGAAGGGGTCCAGCATCAGGGCTCGAAACAAGACGCTACCTGGAGACACTGTCAACACACACTGCTGAAGTGGACCTCCAGCTCTCCATAAGAAGGTCAGGAGACAGTCCTTTAAAGACGCTGTCCAAGCGAACAATGAAACTGAAGCCATGGGCAACAAAAACATTAGACCTCCTGAGGCCCGCGCGGATTTTTCAGACCCCCCTGGCCTCGCTTCCGGTGCCGCCCCTGGGGCGCTCCGGAAACGCACGAGGGGTGTGCCGATGGTGCGGGGGCCGTTCTTGCCCTCTCTCGATGGTCGCGCTCGGTGCCTCGCCCGGGCCCATGCAAGTAGTGTTGCAGGCAGCTACAAGCTAACAAGTCGTTGGGTGCGCCAGACAAGCGTAGCAATGCGCGTGGATCTGGGCACACTCGTCATTCGTGCTCTTGGCGCGCGGCAAGGGACCCCACGTCGTTCCCACGAGCAGGCGAACCTCAGAGTTCTCGGCCCGACACTTCATAGAAGTTCCACCGGACAGTTCTTTCACGCAGCAGTCCCATGCCAGCCAAGAGGAAGGCCCAGGCCTCCGAGGCTCCGCGTCCTGACTCCGATGGTGAGGCCCCCGCCGTCAAGAGTTCCCGCGGTGGGAAGGGCAAGGAGGTCGCCGCGACGGACAAGCCCAGTCAGCCCGACGACGCCGACGTGGTCCACATGTTCCACTTGCCAGGCGGGGCCGTCAGCGCGACCTCCGAGTCGCCCAACCCAGACCGTGGCGAACCCCTGCGGTTTCCTTGGGCCCAGTGTAAGTGCCAGAGGTGCAGCAAAGTGACCAGCCCAAGCACGTCGGCAGTTCCCCTCTCAGTCAACGCGTGCCATGCGTGCTATGGCCCCATGCCTTCGTTTCATGTTCTCGGACTGTCCTATGTGGCGAATGCAGGGCCGACCAGGAGTTTAACGAGAAACACGACAAGCTGATCGCCATCTCCCAAGCGGATCCAGACGACAGGCCGTTCCCCGAGCAGAGCATCGTTGCACGCAAGAAGTTGGGCTACACGGTCGTCGCGAACTTCCAGGCGAAGAAGGAGAGCGACCTGATGGAAAAGGACACGTGAGGATTATCCTTGGAACAGTTGGGCGGGAAGACTTGCGGCATCCCGAGTCCACGTCGGGCCAGCTCCACGACGCGGCGATCACGGCAGACAACAGCACCCCTTCACACAGGTCAAGATGCGGTGCAAAGTGGAGCTCGAAGACAACGTGGTCAATCTGAACAGCAGGAAGCGGGTGTCCGCCACGCAGCCCCCGAAAGTGCTCGACAAACTTTGCAAGATGTTCACCGAGTCCTTGCCCGTGAGCCTGCGGGGCAACAAGCTGCCACCAGCCCTCGACATCTTAAGGAAGAAGGCCGTTGGCATGCTGGGTGTCTCTGAGGTTGCGTCGGAAGGCAACGGTGGAAGCGTTGGTGGAGGCCCTGGCGGCGCGGCGCCGTCCGCAGTTGCTGATCCATGCGCTTCTGCCTCATCGCAGGCCTTGGGATCATGGGCCCGCTACCATCGCCCGCGGCGCCCACGGCGCTTCCGAGCGATGGCCGCGGCGCCCCTGCCGCGCCACCGAGCCGAGGCCGCAGCATCAGCAGTTTCGCTTCTGGGCTTGCAGGGGAGCGCGTTACAGGAGGTCTCGCGGGCGCCAGGCATGATGAGGTTAGGGGCATCGCCCACCGAGCATTGCGGGAGCCCCCAGGATGCCAAGAGTGTCTACAGCGAGGGCCAGGAGACTGCGAGAGACTGCAGGCGCTCAAAAAGGACACGCACGGACAAGGAAAAGGATGCAAACCTGGTCAAGCGAGCACCGACGCCGTCTCCCAATGAAGATACACTGGCTCCGGCGTGTATACGGCAACTCGCTTCGAGGACCCGGCGGGCGACTCGACTTCGATGTCCAACGCTTGCCGTGCCAGTGTCGAATCGAGTTGCGCTACAAGATCGCGAACCCAGGAGGCGTGGACTCGGCGCTTTTGCGGAAAACCCTTGGCGACCTCAAGAAAGAGGGGGTGGTGTTCCCAGTTGACTACGCGATGAAGCTGGTCAAACTACGAATGAAGATCGCCACTGCAACCGATGAGATCATTGATGCGAGCATGCCGTTCACCTGCTGCCGCGGCCGCGGACGAGTTCATCTCAGGCGCTGGAGCCGATGATACATCCAATTTTGATTGCCTCAACCCTCGCCTCCGAGACCTCGACGCCCCTGAGCTTCCTGAGGTGGCACATCCGCTTTCGTCGCGCAACCATTGATGGAGCAAGCAAGCCAACAAACGAGAGCATCACCAATGATATCACTGACATCCTGACGCAGTCATCCTGTGACGCTGCTTGCGTCAGCGAGGAAGATTTCAAGATCCTCAGGACAGGCGCCGGGGAGCTGCTTGCTATCCTTCACCTCTTGGAGGCCCTGGGCGCGCCCATGGTCGAGAAGCTCGCCGTCATCGACGCCGTGAAAGCCGAGAGGTTCCTGGATGGTTCGTTGAACCCCGCGTGGCTTACCTGCAAGCAAACCCTAGAGGACAACAAAACGTGGGCTCCGCAGCTTGTGGCATTCCTGAGGCGCAGGTCTGATGAGTTCGATATCGCGCCAGAGACGGCTGCATTGATGAAAGGTATGGGCGAAAAATACGAGTTGACCAAGATGTTTTTTGGGGATTGTGATGATTCAAAAGCCGAATGCCATGGCGGGTCTGTGCAGGCCCACTGCGCGCGACAGTGGATGGGTGAAGCTGATTGGCGCCATTATTGAGTTTGTTGCGCATGGGTGCGACGCGGGATCCCACGGCGTCTCTGCCAGGCGGGCGCTGGACACTGAGGTCGCTGACCTGTGCAACTCCATGGATCTCCCGAGGGGGTCCGAGATCATTGGGGAGATCAACGTTTTGCGCAGCTTCTCCCTTGGACGATCGCTCGCGCTTTGCGAGCCCCTGCCAGCCCATCCAATTCCGGTCGCTCGAACGACGAGCGCTGACCTCCGGGTGGTGCCCCGCCCTTCTCCCTCTCGTTTGGCCATTTCTTCCGTCCTCACCTCCTCCTCCTCTTCGTTCATCCTCCTCCCCCCCCATCGTCCTCATTGGCCCTTCTATTCGCACCTCCTTCTCTACGCGCTTCCTCGCCTCTTCCTCCTTCTCCTCTTCATCGGACGGCCCCCCCCGCCCGCGCCCCTCAGAAGGACCTGGGCTCGGAATGCAGCTTGCCCTCCGCTCTAGGGGGGCGCGGCCCTCGCGAGGGGTGAGCTTGCGCGGGGCTCTTGGGGGGGGCGTCGTCGGGCGTCTTGGAGGGGCCCAGACACCCCTTGAGGGGATTTGGGGGACTAGCTAACTTTGGAAGCAGTGGTGGCCAGGCATCTCTTGAGGGGATCCTGGGGACCTAGGCATCTCACGAGGGGACATTGGGGATCTTGGGGGCTAGATTTTGAGGCCCCCAGCCCCTCGTGAATGTCCCCGCGCAGGCCCAGAGGGAGCGGAGCACGGGGCCAGCCCCTCCCCGAGGAGAGAGAAGGGTTTCCACGGGAGCGGCATCTCTAGACCACTCACGCCCTAGCCTGAATGGCTGGTAGGATATGAAGACTTCAAGCAGGTCGACGGGTCGAAGAAGATACTCGCGGCATTGCTAGACTTCGCTTCCGTCGCCCCCCCTGAGAACGCGACGTTGTTCAAGGGCCTGGCCTACCAGAGGAAGCCCCAGTTCACAGACCCTGAGCGCGTCGACCCTGCGCTGGCGCCCATGGCGAGGGCCAGCGCCGACGCAATGGAGTCACTGAACAAGTTCGCTTCTGCCGGTGATATCTCTTCGGACGGGGCCTCTCGCATCAACCGGCACGGGGAGCAGCTGACCCACGTGACCACGAAGGTCCTGACATTCATCGTCCAGCGCTCATCCTCCGACGCGCGCAACGAGACCTTGGCTGGCCTCCTCTCCGACGAGCTCGCCGCGCTCGGGTGGGCCATCGACCTCGCGGCGCAAGGCGACGATGCCGACCAGCGGGCGGCGAGCGACAACGGGGCGGATATGCGCCAGAACCTTCGCGCGTGGTTCCGCGCGGCCGCCCGGGAGACTTGGAAGTCGAAGCCGCCGCTGGAACCGAGCCAGATTTGAAGCGACGCCGACGCGAAGGTAGAGCGCGCTGAGTTCTTCGCGGTTGAGAATGCGATGAACAGCGCGCTCGCGGACGCCAAGGCCACGATGGATCGCCGCGGGGGTGGCTGAGTACAAAAAGGAGCTCCACAAGCTTGCGGGGGCCGTGAGCAGCCAGAAAGGATCGGCGGATGCGGCGGCGGACCCCCGCTTGCTGATGCACTCTTGTCGGTCGCCTTGTCCAGCCCAGGTTCTGGGCTGGATGAGGAGGCTATCGAGGCGCGCATTGGCCACTGTGGGCCCGCCGCCTCCGCCGAAGCGGGCATGGCCGACGGCGCCGACTACAAGGGCCCCCAGCCGAACATCCAGCAGCTGACGTGGGAAGCGATCGTAGGCGCGGCGGGGGCGATTGCGTTCTCGACTCAGACGCGAGGCGCCAGCAAGGGGCTCGCCACGCTGCGCGCGGAGGCCTTGGAGGCCATCGGGATTACAAAACGGAGAGCAGCAAGCTGAACCACGACTTGGACGCCGACGAGTTCTTCAATTCCACGGCGGCGCAGGTCCATGCGGACATCCGCGCGCTCGAAAGCGCGCTGGCCGAGTACAAGATCTTGTGCAACATCGCTCGCGACAAGAAGACTGGCCTGGCGCAGAGGCAGTCCCGCGTCGACGAGGAGCTGACCAGGTCGAACTCGGCGCAGGACTAGACGCCGCCAGAGATCGTGCTCCACCCCTCGATCAAGGCCAAGGCCTTGGAGTTCATGCGGTCGTGAGCATCAGAGAATTCATGCGGTCGTGAGCCTGATCGTGAGCCCCTGGTTCGGTGCTCACGGTGGCGAGCTCGAGTCCGAGCTCGCGCCTGTGCGCCCGTGGTCGGCCAACCACTGCGAGGACGCAAAGGCTACGACAGTGCACATCCTCACCATAATCGTCAGCATCACCACCGCCTAAAGATTCCAGTGGCCTTCTGCCAATCCCGCCACCGTGCCTGGGTTATGGGTTACGGGCCTACTGGATGTTCTCTGGGATATCGTGGGTGGCTTCGCGTAGGCTTTGTAGAACCAGTTGTGAATCAACTGGGGTCGTTTAGGGGCCTCGTGGCCTCTTCTCGGCTTCCTGGGCCTCTTGAGGCCTCCTGGGGGTCTGTTTGGGGGCCTCTTGGGGGCCGCTTGGGGTTTCCATGCGATGTTGGCTCTGCCTATCTCCGCTGTCCGTCCTCGGAGGCCATTGGCTTCTTGATCGTTGTAAAGAAATCCCCTTGAACCTTTACAGTGCAGGGGGGACAATGGGCGGACGGGGTGCATGAGGGGAGGAGAACGAGGAGCGGGGGGGCGAGGGAGGAGAGAGGAGGGGGGGGGGTAGGAGGGCGAGGAGCAGGAGGTCAGAGGAGGATTTCCTGTCCCCTGATCCTCTCCTTTCTTCTTTCCTCTCCTCCTTTTTGTCATCCCTCCCTACTCCCTCCCTTCCCTCCTCTCCCTCCCCTCCTCTCCGTCATCCCTCCGCCCTTCCTCCCTCGGCTCTTCATCCCTCTCTCCTCTCCTCCTCCCTCTCTCCTCCCCTCTTCCCCCTCTCTCTCTCTCTCTCTCTCTCCTCTTCACCTCCCCTCTTCACCGTTCGTTGGTAGAAATGTCGGATGCCAGCAAACCCTTTGGCCCTTTGGGGCCCTCTCGGTACCACTCTGAGGGACGAGTGCCTTTCCACAGCACATTTACTTACGTGGCAACGCGCAACCCTTGGAGGGAGCGAGTGCCGATCAGGGTCCCGCGCACAGAAATCATACCATCGAGCCGCTTATGTGGGGCACCACTTTGGTGCGAACAGCCTTTGGCTGGGCGATCTCGGGGTCCATGAAGGGCCACCACGACCACCAACGGGCGACCATCTCCAAACCATGTTTGGGGGATCCTGGGTTTGCAGGTGTCCGACATTTCTACCTTACGTCCTTGCCTCCTCGGTCCATCCTTGGCCGCTTTCGTTGGCCGCGCCCCGCTCGAGAAGCTTCGGAACGGATTTACATTCTCGTGCGCATCCTTCTTAACAGGTTGACGGTACACACATCCCTTCTCCATGCGGTTTGCTCCTTGGGCCCCACCGCCGCTGGGCTGGCCGCCTCCCGCCGAGGCCGAGAGGGGGCGCTCCGGAGACCCAGCGCTTCGTGGAGGACCGACGGGCTCCGCCCAGCCCCTCTCAAGACGAAGCCTGGACGAGGATAACATCGGGTGAGGGTAAGACAGTGACGAGGGGCAGAAGAGCCACCCCTGCAGCGCTCCGGATCGCTCTTGAGCGGATTCGTCCTTGTCCTAGCCCCGTCCGACCTCTCTCGCCACTTCCCTGCGGGGCGCCGACTGCCGGATCGGACGAAAGCTACTATATTTCAACCGACCTCTATCCCCGTCCCCATCCCCATCCCGACCCACACCATCTCACCCGCCCAGTTGGAGATAACCGTTCGAAACCCGAAAGAAATAGCCTCTATCCCCATCTAGGGGGGTAAATTGGCCAGTGGGGCCCATGCCCATGGGGACAGGGTTCGGTTCAACGATGCTCAGCCCGCGCGCCAGATCCACGGATCCCTAATGCATGTCAGCGCGTGCTTCAGGAAGAGGGGGATAGGGAAGCGCACGATCAAAATGGTTCCGGAGAGAATGGTTGCGATGCCCAGACAGCAGTTCTTATTCATGTGAACAGGGCTCGTTGTCTGCGCCGCCGCGGACGTTGTCCATTTCAGACAGAAGGCCGACTGCCCAACAGCGGCCGCCGTCGCTTTTGGACACCATGTGTTGTTTGGAATTTGGCATCATGCCCATTTTGTTCCGTATTCATGTCTGGCGTCCAGAGGGACAGGGGGGGTTAGGAGATTTGTTGCACGCAGTTGGTGTCTTCCTCGTGGCTAGGCGTTTCCTTCGATACATTGGGCGCTGTGCGGCGCAGGGAAGACTGGCTACGTGAGTCGATTGAGGGACCGAGGGACTGAGCAGAGGTCGGGGCTCAAGGCACGGGGGTCAATACAAACGGGGTTTAAACGGTTTAGGCAAGGCGCCGGATCTTGCAGGATCTTGCAGAGCCAGGGGTGCTTTGACCCGGGCTTGTGCGCAGGATCCTGCGGGATCCTGCGGGAGTTGGCAGGGATCCTGCAACGCCCGACTGACCAGGGTGTGCACTGACCTGGGCCAGCGCGTGCCCGACCAGGGAGGGGCATCGACCCCAAACGGCGCGCTCCAGAGAGGGCCGGGCCTTCGGCGAGAGCATGTCGCCTCCGGCGGACGCCCGCGGAAGGCCTCCAGAAGGCCTGCGGAAGGCTAGGCCTTCTGCCCCCCATAATTTCTCATACATGTGTCTCGCATTGCATGTTGTCCAGACGCCCCAGATATCTGAGGCCAAGGCCCAGACGATGTCCGCAGCGGTGGTCGTGTCGTGTCGTGTCGTGTCCCAGATGGGCTCCGAGCATGCAGATGGGGTCGGAGGTTTGCGCCGCATCGCCGCTGCATCGCCGATACAGCTCGATGTGGAGCTCGATTTTCTCCACGCCTACTCGTCGGCGATGCATCTGCAAGGTCGCCGGTACATTGCCGATGCATCGGCGACGCATCGGCGATGTGGCGCGGACCTCCGACCCCATCTGCTCCGAACCCATCTGGGAGTCCTCCATGAAGTCTGCTGAGGTGACATGGAGGCGCCAACATTATTGGATCCTGCGCGGCTGAAGTAACATGTCGCCCATCCCTTGCCGAGGTTGGTCTGTGCAATCCCCGCCCTGCCCCAGGAGCGCTCGGGCCTCGCCATGGGAAGGCCACGGCTGATCTATGTCGGCGATGTGTCGTCGACTCCAGGCCGCCGGTTCCCCCCCTCCCTCTCCTTTTTGGTTGAATTCAGCATCGGCCTTGGCCCATGGCCGAAGTCCCGCTTTATTTTGCCCAATCCCGCTTCCGGCTGCGAATATGGACTTGTTGGCGCGAGGAGGCGCGATAGTTGTTGGTATCGGGGCCAGCAGTCCTACAGCGACCATCGCCCCAGCAGATGAGGATACGAGTGGGGTAAGGGGGGGTCGTCGGCAGCGCGAGGGCCCGCAGAGGCCAAAAACAGCCTCGGATGTCTGGGGAGGGCAGCCCGAAACTCCTAGATGCAGCGGATGCCGATGTTCACCATCGCCATCCTTTCCCATCGCCAGCACAATCTCCGGCGCAACCACCAGGACGAGCACCGTGTTGCGTTGAGACATCACGCGCCTCCCAAGCTGTCTCTCACGAGAGGGTTCAGAAATCCAGCGAAGCCGGATCTACATTTCTTGTCGGGTACTTCAGATTTCGTAATAAAAGGGAGGGGGTCTGGACCCTCCAAGACAAGCCATTTCAGACCTCCCCCGTGGGAGAACCCTCCAAAACATCGTCCCCAGACCCCCCAGGCCCTCCAAGATAGCCTGGAAGAGACCCCCCCCGAAATCAGACCCCCCTCCCATTATTACGAAATCTGGAGCAATTTCTTTGAATCGAAGTTTTGAGTGTGCACCTTGCCCCGCAAAGAGGAGCCGCGCCTCGCGCGCCGCGGCCGGGGCGGCGACGCGGGAGCGAGGCCGGCGGCCCTGAGGCCGCTCTGCAACGGACGCCCCTAATGTGAGCATATGATTAAAGAAATACCCCACCCCACCCCCCTCCCCCGGGGGGCCCTATCCGTGAAGAGTTGGGCGTACTACTAGAATCTGGGGGCCGAAACTGATTTTTTAATCGTCCCCCCCCAGCAACTTTAATCGTCCCCCCCCCTTTCCCCCTGAAGATTCTCGATTTTTCCAAGGAGGAGGAAGGGAGGAAGGAGGGAGGAGGGACGGAGGAGGGAGGAGGGAGGGAGGAGGGAGGAGGGAGGAGGGAGGGAGGAGGGAGGAGGGAGGGAGGGAGGAGGGAGGAGGGAGGAGGGAGGAGGCCTCCCTCCTCTCCTCCCTCCTCCCTAGGGAGGAGGGAGGAGGGAGGGAGGGGGGAGGGGGGAGGGAGGCGAGGCAGGGCGGGAGGAGGGAGGTGGGAGGGAGGAGGGAGGAGGGAGGAGGGCTGGGGCCCGAAACTGATTTTTTAATCGTTCCCCCCTTTCTCCTTCCCTCCAGCGTTTGTTTGTTCGCTCGTCGCGTGGACACATACTGTGATGGCCACAAGAAACAATTCAAGTGATTCGCTCCCGCCCAAGTGGTGTCGCGCGTCCGTGCGGTCGCCTGCGGCGTCGTGTTATGTTGCTGCGTCGTGCCGCGTGGTGCAGTGCCGTGTCGTGCAGGATGCCCCGTGCTGTGCCGCGCCGTGTCATCATCATCATCATCATCATCATCATCATCATCATCATCATCATCATCATCATCATCATCATCATTTCCTGCGTTTCCTGTGCGGTGTTTGAGGCTGACGGATCGCACGTCCGCGCGCGGTCGCCCGCAAGGACGCCCGCGCGCGGACTGCGTTTCCTGTGCGGCGTTCGAGGCTGAAGGATCGCACGTCCGCGCGCGGTCGCCCGCAAGGACGTCCGCGCGCGGACGTGCGACCGATGTCGCCTCCTCTCCGTCCGCACTCTCGCCGCGGCTGTGCGGCTCGAGAGGGCTCTGGCGCGGCGCCTGGCCCCGCCCTCCGTGGCCTGCGGCATGGCGGGTCAGCGGAGGGGCCCTGACTGCCTCGGCTGGCTCACCCGGCCTGCGCGAGGACCTGCGCGCGGCGAGCCGCCCGCGCGGCCGACGGGCGGCTGGGTTCTCCGCCTGACTGGAGGGGGCTTGCCCCCCCTGCGAGGAGCCGCGGAAGAGCCCGCCAGGGGAGCGGAGTCTGACTCCTCCGAGGCGGCCGAGGCCTGGGTTGCCTTTCGACGCAGCGGCGCGCAGGCCTGGCAGGCCCACAAGGCAGCGGAGTCTGCCTCGCGGGCTGCCCAGCCCGCGGAGCAGACAGGACAGGACAGCCAGGAGGCAGACGAGGGCGCAGAGAGCGCAGGGACGGAGGACGCAAGCGAGGAGGCAGACGAGGCCGACACGAGCAGGGCCGAGGACGCAGGCCGAGGAAGACAGGAGGGCGAGGCCGACACGAGCAGGGAGAGCGACGCCGAGGACGCAGACGAAGGAGGACCCCTGGCGCGCTGCCCGCCCCAGCCTGGGGCCGAGGCAGAGGAGCTCGAGGCCTCGGAGGAGAGGACCGCCGAGGACGCAGGCCGAGGGGGGGAGGAGAGCGAGGCCGAGGACGCAGGCCAAGAAGCTCTGGCAGGCTTGGGCGGCGACGCCGCGCAGCCCGACGAGGGGGGCGAACTCCCCTCGCGCTCCCCGCGGCTGCCTGGCCACGACAAGGAGGCAGGCGAGGCAGCGACGGCAGGGCGAGGCGAGGGACCAGGCGGGGCCTTCCTGGTGGAGAGCAGCGACGACGAGGACGCGCCTGCTCAGCAGGGGGTCGCGAACCTGCCTGGCACGCTGGGGTCGGCCGCCGCCGCCGCCACGGAGGCAGCAGAGGCAGAGGTGCAGCACGCGCAGGACCAGCTGCGACGGCTGCTGGGGCCAGGCGACGGCTTCAAGCAGACGCCCTTGGCTGACTTTTTCCCACAGGCGGCGCCGCCCCCCGCGAGCTGCGCGCCGTTCTTGCTGGCTGGCGGCGCGCGCGGACCCAAGCCGAAGTCCGCCAGAGAGCTGGAGCGCGCGAGGGCCCAGAAGCGAATGGCTCTCTCGTTGCAGGCTGCCGAGAGAAGAGCCAAGGCGGCGCGCGACAGCGAGCAGGGGGCGCTGCCACCTGCGAGCGGCGGCGCCCTGACGCTCTCGCCTCTGCAGCGGCCGCGAGAGCCTGCCACGCCCGGCCCGAGCGAGCCTGCCACGCCCGCCAGCAGGCTGAAACCTTCCCAGGCGCCTGGCGCGCTGGCTGCGCTGGACGACGCGGCCGCCAGAGGGGGCGAGGAAGGAGTCCTCGCCTTGCTCCCGGAGAGGGGGGGGCCGCCAGGCAGGGGGGCGATCCCGCCTGGCGCGGCGGGCAAGAATACCCCGAGGAAGGTCGTCGAGGCCAGGAAAGCCGGTGGCGTGGCGAACCTGGAACCACCGACGCCAGCCAGGAAGCTCGAGATGAAGAGACTGGCCGACGAGCTCGCGCAGCAGGCGCTCGCTGGAGCGAGGCCTGCCCGTTTCTGGGAGAGGCTGACTGCAGAAACAGGCTGCGCCCAGACGGCGTTGAA